CCCCTGGCCCTCCCAGCTCCCAGCTTCCTTCCTGTGTCTCGGTCCTCGGGTTCCTGCTCATTGCAGCGGGGGAAGCTTTTTCAGCAAACCTGAAAATAACTTCGCCGCCTTTAAAGGCCCGGCCAAAGCAATCCTGGTTCGGGCTTCTCTGCTTGAAGCCCTGATAGATGTCGCGTCTCCCCTGCGAGCACAGGAAGGCCGAAATGTTTGTCCTTCGGCATATGGTGACAAGGCATTGACAGTCCATTGGGATGGCTGGCGAGAGAGGTTGCTCTGGCCTTGTCTTGCACTCTTGCATCCACATTTTTGAACGTGGGATTCAAATAATTGCTCCAAGAAATTAACAAAAACCAAGTAGACTAGAGATCACTGATTTAAAAACAAGTGAACCATGTGTGAATACTTCAGATGTGGATGGAGGGTCTTGCACTTGCCCTCATGAGACCGTTCTTAGTGTTTGGAGGGTGTTATAAAGGGAGGACTCTTTCTGACTGAAGTTAAAGCTGTTGCATTTTTTTTCCTGACCGCATGGTTTCCCAGAGACTGTAATTAGGAGGCAATATTGTTAGTCCAGTTAGTGTTATGGGGTTCCCACATGGCTCATTTCCCCAGAGCAGCGGTTCCCAATGTGGTGCCTGCATGTGCCACGGCACCCTGCAAGGTTTATTCAGGTGCCTTTGCGCATGTTCATGATCAGTAAAAATCATTATTCCAGCAAAAATGCTGTCATATTGGTGCCTGCTGCTTTTTCTTTTAAATTCAAATGTGCCCTTGGGCACACAAATGTTGGGAACCCCTGCCCCAGAGGATATGGGTCTAAAACACTCCCAGCTGGACCAACCATGATCTTCAGCAGCTCACATCTCCACTCTGGAGCCAGACTGTTCAGTTGCCACTTCCCCAGCTGTCACAGCAGCCACCACACTGGACTTTGTGGATTTGGTAATGCTTATGGCTTCAAAATGATAGCTGTAGTTGCGCTAATTTGAGGTCTGAATTGATCAAAAGATAAGATGTAGCTGAAAACAAGCAAGTACATTTGTGTACCAGTCTGAAAAGATGGATGCTCACCATTACTTGACTTGAGTAGATTTTGTTAAAAATCTAGTATCTCCTCCAAAACATGAATGAAGTTGGTTTATAAATACAGATGAGCAGCAGTAGAAATCTGTTTAAATGTGATCTGTGTCTGTCCTAACTTAACTTTTTTTTTCAAAGACTGGTCACTGCTGGAAGTTACCTAGTTGTGGGGATAATTCGAAGTAGCTTTGAACAGTGAGCTGGATCCAAGTTATGAGTTCATAACATTCATGTTGTTTTGCTAATTGTAGTTCTTAAATACTGCTAAAACCAATCTTAAACAGTGCAATGAATTTCTTTCTCTTCTTTCATCCTTTGCTTTCCCTAGTTCAAAAGTTATAGGTGTCTTCGGCTTTTCCTGTATCTTGACATGTTTTATATCAAAGGTGACTTTTTGTTTTGTTTCAACAGCTGAAAGCTGATGTAGTTCCGAAGACAGCAGGTAAGAAAGCATCTTAGAAATTTTGTCTATCTTTGGCCTTTTAAGGTTTTGAATACAGCTAAGAGAAGTATGAGCTCTTTTTAGCTTTGAGCATCAAGGACAATAAAAAGTCCTTTTTCAGATATGTGGGGAGCCGGAGGAAAAGCAGGGGCAACATTGGACCCCTGCTGAGTCACACCACAGTGCTTTGATGCCATCAAAGAGAGCTAGCTGGAGGATGAATACAAGGGGGATAGACAGAAGCCTGGCTATGGTGGATGGGCCCTTTTGGGCAGCTTCAGAGCCTCTGAGGTGGTGGCCGGGGTTGCAGACCCTTTTCCTTCACATTGCCATTATTGTAGAGGGTTCAGTGTTTCTGCAAGGCCCTCCCTGAGCCTCTCTCAGATGAGCAACAACAGGAGAGAAATCTGGACTGAGGGAAATGGGGTCCAAAGTTGCCTGGTTCTGCACCTCTGATGTGTTGGGTGGCTGCAGGGTGGGAAGTGGCAACATCTCCTCTGCCCCAAAATACCCGTACACGCTGCCAGGACATTTTTCAACCATGTATCAGGAAAAAGCCAATCTATTAAATAGGTACTTTGCGTCGGTCTTTCATCAGTCCCATGGGACGCCCATGCCCGCTACAGGGCCGGGAAGTCCGGGTGAGGGTGATCCCCTGCCCTCCATTAATGCTGACTTTGTGAAGGAACATCTTGAGAAGCTGGATACCTTCAAGTCAGCCGGCCCTGACAATCTTCACCCCAGGGTACTCAAGGAGCTGGCGAGCATCATAGCCCAGCCCCTAGCACGGATCTTTGAAAACTCTTGGCGCTCTGGTGTAGTGCCCGAAGACGGGAAGAAGGCCAATGTGGTGCCTATCTTCAAGAAAGGGAGGAAAGTGGATCCGGCTAACTATAGGCCCATGGTTATTTTGCCCCAAGTGGCACAATTTGCTCCACAACAAAGTGCATGTCCAAGCATGTGCTCTGAGGCAAAAAGCCCCGGCTCAAATTTGCACTGCTTCTATTTGAGCTGCTGCAGGCACAAGTGCTTGCATGTGTGCATGCGCCCACCCACATTAACCTGCCACATGTAGCATGGGCATTCCCCGGGGACAAGTAGCAACAACACAAGGTGTGCCCTTGTTACTTGTCCGTGGGGCTAGTAAAGCGACCAAAACGCTGGCTTGCATCCATAGATGCTTCTCAAGCAAATCCCGGGACGTCATTCTCCCCCTGTACTTGGCCTTAGTGAGGCCACAGCTGGAGTACTGTGTCCAGTTTTGGGCTCCACAATTCAAAAAGGATGTGGAGAAGCTTGAGAGAGTCCAAAGAAGAGCCACACGCATGATCAGAGGTCAGGGAAGCAGACCCTACGATGACAGGCTGAGAGCCCTGGGGCTCTTTAGCCTGAAAAAGCGCAGGCTCAGGGGTGATCTGATGGCCACCTACAAGTTTATCAGGGGTGACCACCAGCATCTGGGGGAACGTTTGTTCACCAGAGCGCCCCAAGGGATGACGAGGTCGAATGGTCACAAACTACTTCAAGATCGTTTCAGGCTGGACATAAGGAAGAATTTCTTTACTGTCCAAGCCCCCAAGGTCTGGAACAGCCTGCCACCGGAGGTGGTTCAAGCGCCTTCATTGAACACCTTCAAGATGAAACTGGATGCTTATCTTGCTGGGATCCTATGACCCCAGCTGACTTCCTGCCCTTTGGGCGGGGGGCTGGACTCGATGATCTTCCGAGGTCCCTTCCAGCCCTGATGTCTATGAAATCTTTCAGTTTCATTAAGAGAATTTTTCAGAAACTGGAAAAACTTGTTTCAAAGTTCTGTTTTAAATGTAGAAAATATTTACACGGAATTTGTCCCAAAAGCAGTTCGATGCCTCACTTTTAATGCACAGGCAAGTGAGGGATGTGTGTGCGTTGCCAAGGCTGGCCAAACAAGTTTTAATACAAGGTTAAAAAAAACCCCACAGTTATCATTTGAAATGCAAAAAAGAAGAATTGTGGAACTGAGATGATGCAGCTTGAGAGGCTGTTAATGAGACTGATTTCCCCTTTCTTCTATATATAGAGATACAGAAATCAGTTTGTGAAGGTAGTAAGCAAGATCAGTTTTTCTTTCTTGTGGCTACTTCATGATCTCCGTGCATTGGTTTTCTTATTCCAGTTACTCATAAACAGATGGCCACAAGAAAAATACTACCATTACAGTTTTCAAACAGAGAAAACATTTAAGAGGCATGGAGCCCGAACTCTGATTCCTAAGGATATTTCAAGCAGGGGTGAAGGCACATAAGTGAAAAACACATTCATGCTCTGTACTGTGCCCTATTTGGAGGGTAAATGGAACATCTCCAGGGCTGTAGCTTTCAAAAATACACGATTCGTTCATGCAAAACAAACACTTAAGCTATTAATAACCTTTTTATTTGTATTAAACTGTAAGAATATTAACTTGGGACCTGACTTACTGATGATGTCTTTTTATTTTGGATTCAGTAAAAATGAATTAAGTTGATGTTACAGGGTAGTGACTTGCATTTTGTTTTGACAGAGAACTTTAGAGCTCTTTGTACTGGTGAGAAGGGTTTTGGGTATAAAGGATCCACCTTTCACAGAGTGATTCCTTCATTCATGTGCCAGGTAATGTAACTTTCAAATATTTCTACTGAACTTTAATCATGATATTTTTCCAAAATAAGTTTCATATTCATTTGTGATACTTTAGAAAGGATGCTTTTCTTGTGTATTAGAATACTACTATAGCAATAATACTTGCATTGCTATGCTCTGTAACCTATTAGCTGCAGAATTAAGTTAGGATACTGCATGGCATTTCCAATCCTGTTGCTAGGACTCTTGCTTAATATATCCATTGATACAAGTAAATGCACATCATCCACACACTGCTTTGGAAATCCAGGATCTCTGCTTTCATGTAGTGACATGTTTTAACAAGTGGTATGTTCAGTAAAATGGCTCTTGGTTAAGATTGTGTGCACAGGAGGTGAAGTAGGAAAACCAGCATGCCCATTGTTTCTGGTCTTGGAGAAAATGTTTTCTAAAATTTTAGCAGATATAGTAAAGTTTATTTCTAAAATTGAAAGACGCTACTATTTTAAACGGCTATGAATTGTAAGCCTTTCTACAAAGGAAATTAATCTATTCCTTTAGTATATTCCATAGCAAACTACTTAACAGTAGAGGTTGGTTCCATTGCATTAAGCTAAAATATCAGTGTAGTCCAGCGGTTGTCAACCGGAGGTACACGTACCTCTAGGGGTACTTTAAAAAGGGGGGGTGGGGCTCCTGCCACTGCATGCACTCCAGTGGAGGCCCAAGGGGCACTTCCCTTTTCTTTTCCCCCTACCCCCAAATCTGTGTGTGGGGCAGAGGCGGCTGTGTGTGCGGGGCTGTGTGTGCCACTGCAGCTGCCTGGGGAGTAGTGTGATGCCATGTGCCTGCCACTGCCAGGCTGTG